GAAATTCAACAACTTACATTCCTAGTTTAATAATTATTCATCTAGATAATTCACAAAGGCATAAGAAAAATAATTTTTTCATAAATAAATTGTGTTGGTAAGGATTAACTACAAGGGGATTAGTAATTTTTACCTAAAGAGGCTTGGTTATTAAGTGACTCTTAGTAGCTCACCTCCCTCCAAGGTTCAATTTGTATACTTAGTCCTCCAAGTACTTAGTCTAAACCTTTCAAAATTTCTTTCCAAAATTCTTTTCTAAAAGAAAAACTTTTGCCTATAATGGAAGATTTTTCTCCTCACCAAAGTGATAGTGATACAAGTGCTTACAAAGATCTTTTAAAAGTAGCACATGAGTTGAAATCACTAAAACTTTGGAGAGAGCAAGAATCCAAACAAAAGATTAAAGAAAAAATTGAAAGAGAGGCTCAACTTGCAATCTTGGAGGAGGAAATCCGAATTTTGAAGCAAAAGGAAGAAAATTTACACATGAAGCACCGAAGTAGACATGGTAGTTCCCAATCCCATAGTTCAGCCTTAGGGGTATCCATCCAAGAGGAGATCTTAGCTTTAGGTGATCATTATCACACTACAAGAAAATGACGATTTTGTGACGGTTATATGGCCTACATTGCGACGGTTAGAACTGCTGCAAAGACAATATTGCGACAGTTTGGGAACCGTCGCAGAATTGTCCGTCATTGGTACGAGTGACGACAGAAGACAATACGAGCCTGAATTGATTCAAAAAGTGTTGTGAGGAGCCAGGAAAACAGCAGCGAATCCTTGCGATCCCAGGCAGTGTATTCAGGATTGATAGCATTGGCGTCACGATCCTCAGCAGTAAGAAATTTCAGTGGAATCTTTGGATTGACGACAAAGCGTTCAAGCCCATGTGCGCAAATCACAGCAGTGACCTGTTGTTGCCAGGTCATAAAGTTCTTCTCATCCAGTTTGCATGTGATAGATTGGGAGAATGTATGCGAAACAGAATTGTCAGAGGTTGCGGAAGCGGAGGCCATTGGAGCAAGATTGGGAAAAGAAGAGTCATAACAAATTTCGCAGGACAAGTGCAGGCAGAAAGATAGACAGAAGCAACGCGACGAAGACGACGCGATCGGAGACGAGAATCAAGAAGAGACGCGAGCAAGTCGGAATCGCGCAGAGAGGGCGCGAGCGAAGCAAAAAAAAAATCGCACGGAGAGGGCGCAAGCAGAAAAACAGAGCCGCACAGAGAGGGCGCGAGCAGAAAAAACAGTCCAAGATCTCACCGTGCTCACAATGATACCATGAGGGAAAGAGCAGATTTG